AAGAAGCCGTCTGGGTCACTGTAGAGTCCTGTGTACACACGCCCCCACCCCCCGCATACCAGCAGGAGGGAACCACCACGCTTGGCATTTTAGGAAACAGCCCAGACGCCCAGCAGCAGCAGAACACGGGACATACAGCATGGATTTCTGCTAACGAACGCAGGCTTTACCGAGGGCACGCGATCGCCCTAGAACTCCGAGCATCCATGGGACGGTGTAAAGAAACAAACAGCAACAAAACTGTCACCCTGAGCAGAAAAGGCATCACAGAAGAGTGTGTGGATTATGATACTTAGTAAAATTCGGAAAAGCCTCAATCACACGGCGCATTGTTTGGAGACGATACTTACATGGTAAGAGTCTTCCAGAACCCAGTGAAGCGGCGACTTGCACATGTTCGGGAGAGTGAGTCCCCCAGCGGGTAGTCAGGAGTCGGGGCTCCCAGGGCACGGGGGGGTGCGGGAACGTCCACGTTCTCGGGCCCAGCGGCAGTGTTTGGGCTCTACGGTGCTGGCGCTCTCTACAGCGGCATAAACACACACGTGCTTCCGTGCGGGCGGTGGGTTTCCGACGTTTCTTTTCAAGGAAGGAGTGGATCGCAGCGGGGGTGCAGGCGGCTCCGGGAGCCGGAAACGGGCGGTGGGAGGGGAGCAGGCTGGCGGGGAGACAGCCCGAGGGGCCTTCCCGAGAGGCATGCGCCACAGCAGGTGCGCTCACTCTCAGGACTCACCGCGGGAGCCGATCCCGGCAGCCCCTCTGGATCCCCGCTTTGGGGTCTCCGTTTGGGGAGACCTGCGCCGTCTCTAGTAGTGAGGCCGACCCGGCAAACGGCAGCTCGGCCCTTCAGGAGCTCACGGGACACAGAGCCCTTCTGCCTGTGTAAACCAGTACTTCTGGGGAAAGCAGCGCAATCCCCGTGTTAGGGACTCCTGTGCCTCACGGAAGCCAGACACTTGGGAGCGCCAGCGATTTCCCTGTTAGGAGCATTTTTGTCTTGGAAAATCTCTAAGGTGTGAATATGCCTGATGACATTTTTGATTACAGCGGAGGAGGAAGTAATTCCTGGTGGGAAGAGAAGAGCCTTCCTCCCCCGGTGGCCGGCTTCCTGTGGCGAACCCGTGCTGGCAGGAGCGGGTGTCGCTCACGAGGGCAGGTGTGGTGTGGGGGCTTCCCCGGCTTGGGATGGGGCCTCGATGAGCCCTCCCTCTGACAGAAACGAGAAGAGTCACTTCCCAGCTGTTCGGCGGCAGGACAAAATGTAAAAGTTAAACCATTCGATAGTTCTGGAAGCAGAAGAACAGGTGGTAGATGGCTTCCGAGACAGATGGTACTTTTTAATAGTTGTGTTCGACCGCCAGCCGCTCTACGAGCGGCCGTAACGATCACTCATCTTTTACCTTTTTCACTTGAATGCTTGCAAAGTGTGGGCCAAGTTTTAAAACGAACAACCATCAGTCTTAAAAAAATTAGAATCCCTTCCTTTATTTCCTCAGCTCTGAGCAGCGCCAGAGCCCTGCGGCATGGTGACCCCCAGGGGGCGGGGGACGGAGGTGGCAGGCAGGCCGGCAGGTGCGAGCCCCGGTGGCCCGCAGAGATGACTTCCACTGCGCACCGCAGGCTCCCCCCAAAAGCTCCTGTTTCCTTAGAAACTAGGAAGGAACTACGATTCAAGATCCGTCTTTCTCCGAACGCTTCCTTCTCCCACTTGAGCTCTGACATTTAACGGAGCGGCTACATCAGCGTGCAAGCCCGTGGACAGGAGGACAGAAAGACAGGAGGACAGAGCGGAAAGGAGGACAGGAGGAAATGACTCTCCTGGAGCTCCAGCCGCGGGCACAGGCCCTCAGGTGGTGGCCCATGCTGCCCACACAGGGCAGGGACTCAGCATCTCCAGGCCCTGCCCCCACTCTGCCTTCCCTCCCGTCTACGTCACCCCTGACTCAGGAGCAGAAGTGTGACAAACACTGGCAGAGGCAGAGATGGTGTGAATGACAGAACCGGTCATGCAGGACGGAGATGGGCCCTTGGGGAAATGCTGAAGGAAGCAGAGGGAAGGAGCACGGCCTGGGCCCGGTGCAGGCTGGGGGAGGACAGGCAGACACAGCCCCACCACACGGGACCTACAGGCCGGGGAAGGGGACGGACAGAGGCCCGCCGCCTGCGCAGCCCAATTCGGGACAAGCGCAGACCAGCTCGTGGGGCTCTTCAAATACAGGGTCCTATTTGAAATGTTCAATCGGGCTGAAGGCATATAATTAAGTGCGACTCTCCCAGCTGATCTCCTTTCCCGCGATATGCCTACCTCCTTCGGGGTCCTTCTGCTGCTGGATTGCTGACGCTCCCCGGTGAGCTGATTCACGCACCAGCACAGGTTTCCACACATCGCTAAGGGGAGTTCTAGAATCTAAACCGGGGCCTCTCGACAGAAGCACTACTAACATCTTGAGCTACATGATTCCTCATCGTGGGGGCCGTCCGGGGTGTTGTGGGGTGTGTGTCTGTCTCCCCAGCCTCTGCCCACCAGATCCCAGTAGAACCCCCCAACTTTTGACAACCAAAAAAATGCCTTCAGCCGTCACCAGCCATCTGCCCTGGGCGAGAAGCCGAGAGTTGCTCCCCACAGGGTCTCGAAGCTTTGAGGGCTCTCAGGACCAAGCAGGGGCATAAATAAATGAGTCTAGTCCTTCACCAAATTTGGGAATTCTCTGAAAAAAAACAAGATTATTCACCCGTAGATAAATTAAGATTCACATGCTTTTGTAAAATCATTTTCAATATGGAGCACATTTCACAGACAGGTGCGTTTTTCTTGGTCGGTGAAATCGGCTTTGCGGGGACACGGTTCTGTCTCAGCCCCGCTCAGCCCTCCTCCCCATCCGGCCCCCCTCAGGTGCCTGTTTTGCAGGGTGGCAGGAATTCCCCAGCATCAAGAACACTCATTGCCCTCGAAACTCCTTGACCTCAATGAGTCTCATTCTATGGAGCCACTGACCGCGATTCACAGGAGCTCTGAGGGACAGACCGTTGGCTCAGGCTCCTCCGAGCCACGGTTCTCAGAAAGTTCTCAAGGAAATCCTGGAAATGGCTCATCACAGGCATGGCCAGTCTCACCCAGATGTGTTCTGCCGATGTCCAGCGGACACTGCCAGGGGCAGACTGCAAGGTGGCCAGATCTCCCAAAGGACCCACTTAGCAGGGACACTCCGGGTCGGACCACAGACACTGCTGGTGTCAGACGTGGGCACAGAGCTCGGACGGAGGCTGGGGTCGTGTGTCTGGACCAGGCACTGACTCCTCCTTTACTTCAATTGCCACCGGGTCCCTCTGCTACAGTGCTCAGTTTTCGAATCAACACATTAGGGGCCTAGAAGCTGCCCCATGGAGTACCCCCTTTCCTTCTTCCTGATGGGCACATTACAGTGGTTACCTACAAGACTGATCACGTTGACACCCTGGTCCTCTAACTGAATGCACATTACAGCAAATTTGATTATAGCACCTTATAAAATGCAAACACAGAGAGACACCTAATTATTATGTCACTTTATAAATCATACGAGGCATGGAAAGTGAAACCACCCCTGGGGTACATGGGTTTGGGTTCCCTCTAAGATTAATTTTCTTGGAAAACAGTAAGTCATCCTTAATAAATGCCAATGAACTGATGGATTTTAACGGAAATCTTGACGCAGCTGTAAATTATGTTGCACACGAGAGATTATTCATGTGTTTTATTCATTTCGCCATCACACCCTAAATGCATGTTCACTAACAGCTTAAAATAGAAATAAGATTTTGTTCTTGAGAATACAATGTTCTACTGGCCGACTCATTTATCAAGCCAATAGAGAAATACGGACGCCCAAGACCGCATCTGATTTTCCAGAACAATGTCAGCAAACCAAAACAGGAAAAGAACAAAACTGTGTTATTCCTCTTTCTCCCATGAACTTGGATGTGTGCGCACGTGTCTCACAATCTGGTGATGTTTCCTGCTACTGATAACCTAGTGATTGAGGACATCATGGTAACTTTAGAATTCTAGCACCTGATTAATGCTAGAACCCATGGAACTTCCATTCGGGTCTCCCGTGTCACAAGCAAACCTAACACTCAAGCAGCAGTTCCAGCTCTCTGGGTCTGAGCACCTACCGAAGGCTCATTCCAAGTCCACGTTGCTTTTGCTACACTTAAGGGAAGGACCTAAGCTCACGTTCACGGGTGGCTTGGACACACGGTGTGCGGTCACCATTAACAGACACACACCTACATCTGTGAACACACACACGGACAACAGAGTTGCAACCAGTGCACGACCGAGGGCCCTCCCTCTCTCTGCTGAGCCCCCAAACACACATCACGGCACCACTCGGGCTCCGAAGTGTCTACCAGCCCCATGTTCGTCCTGGAGGCCTCCCAGAAGAGCACACGCGTGCATTAAGGAAGCCGAGGACCTCTGTGGCCACCCACGCCCCTCACAGTCAGCCACGCGTCTGGGGCTTCCCGAGGTCCCTGCCTCGTGTTCAGAATGAGCCAGCCAGCAAGCCCAGGGGTGGGGTGTGACTTAGTGAGTCCCAGCATTGCACTTTTTTTGTGTTTTACTAACTTAGATGCTCAGCCCTTTCCTGGTGTGCTGCCTTTGCTTCCTTCTGAGCTCCACGTAGGGAAACCACACACCTCTGGGTATCTTGACTCTCTCACTGACTACATTACTCCCCCTAAAAACTTAGCAAACGGAAGCCTCGCTTCTCTGAATACAAACTTCAAACTTGGTCTCACAGCAGGAAACACCCAGTCCGAGTTAGCAAGACCATCTTCAGTGGGGTTGAGGAGCATGAAGGGGGGCAAAACCTGGGTGACCCCACGGCATGTCCCTCCCAGGGAGCCCCTCGGCACGTGATCCAGGCACCAAGCCAGAGGCAGGCTGGCTCCTGCCTTGTTCCCCACACGGTGAGCTCTGAACCAGCTCCAGGCTTTGAGAGCCCATGCTCTGTGCTTACCAGAGAAGGGGGCGGTCCTCAGGGGTATCTTGATGGGTGCCAAGGTCAGGAAGTGGCAGGGCTGCACGCTGGAGGGGGAGGGGCCCCCAAGTCCCTCTGGGTCCATGGACACCACGGCAGCCGTGGCGGTGATGGCAATGCCGGGGGTGCTGCTAACAGGCTTCAGGCTGTTGTGACAACCACCTGCAGAAAACGGACAGGGAGGTCATCACGGGAATGCCCGGTGTCCACCGGGGAGGCGCCATTCCACGATGCAGCATATCCTCACCCAGAAAACAAGGGCAGCACTAACCCATTTCTTGGAAACCCATGCCATGTGCCAATATCCCAGAAATACCCAGGCTGAGTTCTCAATCTGTCCAAACACTGATTGTGCAGAGCACATGCACACCGCTATGTGACGTCCGGTGAGTCACAAGGCTTAGCGGGAGACACACGTGCCTGAGCCCCTGGCTGCGGAGGTCATGAGGTATCTGTGTAACCAGGGGTGGTGGTGACAAGCACACCGTTCCTCGGAGCAGCGAGGGAGGGGGAGGGCAAGACAGGAGCACAGAAAGGTGGGAGGTGGGCTCAGAGGAGAAGGCAGCCTGGGTCGGGGTGGAGAGGAGGCTCAGCTGATCCCTGAGGACGAGGCTGCCACCGAGCCCGGTCCCTGCAGGGAGAACCTCGACCTCACATCAGCCTGGGCAGCCCCTTGTGAGGAGCCGGGCCCCAAGCCTACAATTCAGCTGGTCTTTCCTGGCAGAACTGGAAACACTTGAAACTTTGCTTCTGTCTCTGCCTTTTCTGTAAAGTTGTTATTTAAAAGGACTCTTTGGTCCCTAAATAATTGCAGTTTCTAAGAAATAGTCTGTAACTACCAGCTCACACGGATGGTGCAAGCTCTGGAAAGCAATCTGGAAATGAGTCTTAAAAATGTTAGTACAGTTTACAACTTTAATCTAATGTTTCCCTTCCTAGAATTCGCCCACATGCCCAATGCCTTCAGATACAGGTTTGTGGTGGGAGACTGGAAAAAGCAGCAAAGGGCAGATGCTTTTACTAACGGTGGTGCGTCCAGCCAGTGAGACGCTGAGCAGCAGGTAGAACCCCACAAGGAAGAACACCCAGTGCCACAGGGGGCAGCTCGCGGTGTGTTCAGAAAACAAAGCAACTGACAAAATCATTTCTATTTCTACACCACATAGCCATTCAGTCAACAATGCTTTATTGGGTTGACTAGGTGTCCACCATAAGACACATGGCATATACTTCCCTCGCTTATTTGCTTTGTGTTATAGGTTGATGGGCACAACGCAGAAAAGTAAAGCAAGGAAGAAAAAGGACTGGGAATTGGTAGGCGGGCTCCATCTTTACATGGGGTTGTCAGGAAGGTCTGCCCTGGGAAGAGAAGTCACAGTTGACAGCCTGCAGGAGGCGAGAATGGAAGAGCTGGCCGAGGAGGGGTGGGGAAGTGCAAAGGGTCTGAGGCAGGCGCCAGTCCAGTGTGTTCCAGAAGCTGCAAGGAGATCAGGGAGGTGGAGTGGAGGGGCAGGGATGAGGAAGTGTGCGTGTGGGGAAAGGGGGACGACTGTGCCTTGCAGGCACAAAGGGGCATGCAGCTGCCAGGAGGGGTGGGGTGCAGGGGCGGGGAAGCTCTGCCATCATCTCAAGTAGCACCCTGCCTGCTTTGCTGGTGACAGACAGGAACGGGGGCCAGCTGGGTCCTGGCTACACTCAGCCAGATCCTATCAGTCTGTCTTTGCTTGTCTTTCCACAGTATTCAAATCCCCTTTGATGGGCATATACAAATTTTAAAAACGTAACTTAATTTTTATAGAGTCAGTTCAAGTGTACAGAAAAGTGGAGCAGAAAGTACAGAGAGTTGGCATGTACTCTGCCACACCCCTACCCCCACCCCGCCCCCACCATGCTCACAGTCCCATATCAGTGGGAGCGGAGTACCTGTTACGACTGATGACCCCAAACTGATACATTGTTGCTGACCGAAGCCCCCGCAGACAGCATGTTTGTGGTTGTGTTGTGCATTTCTGATCTTTGCCAAAGCCAGACTGCCATGCATTCCCATCATAGAGCAGAACACAGAATACAGAAGAGCATCGCTGTCCTAAAATCCTGTGTCCTGCCTGTTCATCCCCCGCCCCCACAGCCGCACCCCCACAACCACAGACCTTTTTATTGTCTCTACAGTTTGCCCTTTTCCAGGATGTCGTATAATTGGAATCAGACATTATGTAGACTTTCCAGACTGGCTTCTTCCACTTAGCAATGTATGACTGAAGTCTCTGTCTTTTCTTGGCAAGATAGGTCCTTTCCTTTTATCACCTCCGTCATCTGGAGGGGCCACCATTCACTTATGCACTCAGCTACTGCAGAACATCCTACTTGCTTCCAAGTTTTTGCAATTATGAATAAAACAGCTATAAACATGTGCGCACATGTTTTTGTTTGGACGCAGGTTCTCTATTTGGGTAAATACCAAGGAATGTGCCTGCTGGATCATATGGTGTGACAACGTTTAGCTTTGTAAGAAAGCGCCAGACTGTCTCTCCAAGTGGCTGTACCATGTGTATCCCGGCAGCTGGGAACGAGTGCTCCTGCCACTCCTCGTCCTTGCCAGCATTTGGGGCCAGGGTTTGGAGTCTGACCTTTCTGACAGGTGTGTAGGAGCCTGTCCTTGTTGTCGCATACACATTTGTGGTCAGAAAAAAAGCCCCACTGTTCTAAATATATTATCTTACTTGATAATAAAAACCTATTATAGAAAACTCATAGAATGGAGTGACTCAGTGTGTACAAATGTCGCTGTGGACCCCCCAGGCAAACACGGCTCATCTTTTGTCATGCAGCAAACCCCAGTTTCCTGGGGGCACGGTGTGGCTGCCCTGGTGTCCCCATCAGACTGCAGGAACAGCTCTTTTTTTGGAGATGTTATGAAATAAGCACTTCCCTGATCATTAAATGGCTTACCCAGTGCAATTATTAACTGGAGCCCGGCATTCCAGGCAATTCAGCTGCCACACAAATTTGCCGCATTCACTAAGATCCCCCACCGTAACAGGAGCTGCCTCCTATTATAAGTAAACATGATGTAAACAACCGTTTACAAAAACATTCGTTTCTGCATTTGTTGCTCTGGGACAGATGTTCAGGGTCAAAGCACTGTATTTTTGGGTGTGCCTGTGTCAGTTTAATGAGGTAATTTTGTGAAAGCCAACACACCATTAGAGCCCTCTACAATTTCTTATTAGGCCCGGCTTCTCTCCCTCAGGATCCACACATTCATATGATCTCTCCAAGGGCATGTTCACTGGGGTGCAGCCATCAGTCTGCGCTGTTTAGAGACAGACCCACTGGGGAGACACACCACCAAGTTCCATGACCTCAGGGACATGCTGCCTGTTGGATTTGTCTAATAGCCCCGACCTACTGTTCAAACTGAGGATGACCTTTTAGAAACGAATGACAAAGTCATTACTGGTGTTTTAAAAGAAGCAGAAGCCAAGGCAAGTGCGTTTCATAGACAGACGTATAGGGACACGTTTATTATCATGCGATTTTGTTGTCAAAAATAATATGTCACTTGCTGATTTCAACTCTACTATGAAGCTATAATCACAACACAGTGCAGCACTGGCACCAAAACAGACAAATCAGGCCACGGAACAGAATCAAGAGCCCAGAAATAAATGCAACCATATTTGGCCAAGTAATGCTTCACAAGGGAGCTAATACCACTCATGGAGAAAAGACAGTCTTAAGTGGCACTAGGATAACTGGAAGAATGAAACCGGACCCTTGTCTAACACCACTCACAGAAATTAACTCAAAATGGATTAAAGACTGAAACATAAGACCTGAAACCATGATGCTAGGAGAAGACCTGGGAACAAATTTCCTGACATGGGTGTAGCGATGACTTTTTTTGGAAATTACACCTACAGCATAAGCAACGAGAACAAAACTGATAAACGGGACGATATCCGACCAAAGAGCTTCTGCACAATGAAGGAAACCATCAACAAGCTGAAAAGGAAACCCACAGAATGGGAGAAATGGACATTTGCACACCACATATCCCATAAAGCGTTAATATCCAAAATACATAAAGAACGCCCACAGCTCAAGAGCAAAAAACACAAATAATCCAATCTAAAAATGGGCAAGGAACCTCAGTAGAAGTTTCTCCACAGAAGATGTGGGAAAGACCAACCGGCGGGTAAACCAGTGGTCCTCTCAACTCCTCATCAGGGAAATGCAAATCAAAACCAAGATGAGGGGTCGCCCCACACCTATGAGAAGGGCCGTCTCCCCAAGATGAGACGACAGATGCTGGCGAGGATGTGCAGGGAACGGAGCCCTCGTGGGCGGCTAAGATGGGTGCAGCCACGGTGCGCAGCTCGGAAGACCCACCAAAACATTAACTACAGGCCGAGCACGTGGCCCAGCAATTCTGCTCCTGGGAATATATCCGCAGGGAAAGAAAACACTAACTCAGGAGTCTACACTCACAGACACACAGCCCGAGTCACAACAGCCAGGTCGTGGAGAGCACCGAGCCCCTCAGTGGATGAACACATGAAGAACGTGTGTGTGAACATAAGGACGGCTCTCAGTTCTGGAGCTTGGGAAGTCGTACCGTCTCTGACAATGCGGGTGGGCTCCGAAGGCATCATTCTAAGTGAGGTAGGTCAGACAGAGAAAGACAAATGCCGCGTGATTTCGCCAATATGTGGACTCTTAAAAGAAAAAAAATACAATAAAAACAAAACCCCCAACTCATGGAAAGAGATCAGCCCTGTGGCTCCCAGAGGCAGAGGGGCTGTGAGGAGGGGGAGGTGGGGGTAGGGGAGGCGTCAAAGGGAACACATCCAGGTGTAAAGACGGTGCTGAGAACGTCACTGACAGCAGGACACCTGTGGCGGACGCCGCCCAGGGATGCAGAGGAACGTGGTTAAAAGAAAAAATCCGGAGTGTTCTCATCACACCAAGAAAAACATTTTTTCCTTCTTTCTTTACTCCGTATCATCTCTATATGAGTAGATGGATGCCAGCCGGACCGACCATAGAGATTGTTTCAGAAGGGACGTAAATCCAGACAACGTGCCGTCCACCTTATGCTTATGCAGTAACGAACGTCAGTTACTGCTCAATAAAACCAGGAAAAAATAATGAGTCGGCTG